AGGCATCCAGACAACAGAGCTAACGAGCTAATTTAGTGGGAATGTCAGCGCCGATTGCTGCTCACTGACTACTGAGTGTAATGTGTAACAGGGGCCTGTTATGTTGACACACACAGCTTTTCTCTGAGAGAGTTACTCCCACAGTGCTAGTGGTGTTGTGCTGAAGATGGCCAAAGGTACAATTGTGTCCTAATAATGTACTGTGCGTAAACTCTTGCCTAGTGTGCTACCACAAACCCTGCTGGGATACTGGGGTCCGTTGCATGGAATATGAAAAAAAAAACATGGAGCCACTTGTGGTGGCCATTCAGCCCCAGGAAACCACTGCTCTCCTCAGTCTTCACCACCGAGTTCCAACTTGGAATGGTAATATGTTCCATCATTGAGCCTTCTGTCTTCAACCTTTTCGTATATCCCATCCTCTGTTCATCAACATCCTCATAGCGCCCCGCCTTCTCTGACAGCTGATTGGATGACCCATGCATATCGAGTGATCCATATATAAAAAGACCAGAAATTGCTGGAGAAACTCAGCAGGTCTGGCAGTGTCTTTGGAGAGAGAAACACAGTTACTGTCATGAGTGCAGTGACTCTTCTACAGAACTGAGATGAAGGGTTCTGAAGAAGTGTCATAAGAGACAGGAACAGGAGTGGGCCATTCAGTCCCTCGAGCCTGCACTACCATTCAACAGGATCATGGCCGATCCGACATTCCTCATGTCCTGAGGAAGGGTCACCGGACCCGAAACGTTAACTCTGTTTTCTCCTTCACAGATGCTGCCGGACCTGCTGAGCTTTTCCAGCAACTTCTGTTCTTGTTCCGACATTCCTCATGCCCACTTTCCTGCCCTTTCCCCACAACCCTCGATTCCTCAACTAAGCAAGAATCTGTCTCAGCCTTAAATATACACAAGGTATCTACCCCCATAGCTCTCTGTGGCAAGGGGTTCCAAAGACTCTTAACCCTCACGGGAAATTCCTCCTCATCCCAGTTTTAATTGGCACTCCTTTATTCTGAGACTGTGCCCTCTGGTCCTATAGGACTTGAAGGGTTAACTCTCTCTCTCTCTCTCCACAGATGCTGCCAGATCTGCTGAGTTTTGTTTCAGATTCCCAGCATCTGCAGTACTTTGCTTTTATTTGGATGGCCCATGTATGCCAGTCAAAACCTGAGACTCACCCACCTTCAATAAATAAAATGGAGTTAGTTTTCATTTAAAAGTTAATGAGGATCCAGGTTCAGCCATTCATAATTAGGCTGCTACAGGAGTGCCTTGAAAACAAACCTCACGACTACATGATTCACAACGAAGATACATCCTAGTGAGGAAGGAGGCCTTTGAGGAGAGGGATAGACCAACCAGGGTTAACCAGGGAATTAAGGAAAACATTATAATATTTTGCACACTTTTCTTTCAGTGTGGCAAATATTAATGGTAACCAGATAATGGGAACATTTTAAAAGATGCCAATTGAAAAAAAAAAAGGAGAAAATAAACTTTGAGGTCAAACTAGCGAGTAACATAAAATCAGACAGTAAGAGCTGTTTTAAATATATAAATAGGAACAGAAAGGCCAAATGAACACAGGCCCCTTAGAGAATGAGACTGGGATATAATAATGGGGAACCAGGAAATGGCAGAGGATTTGAATAAAGTCTTTACTGTAGAAGACACTATTAACACTTCAAGAATACAAAATAATCAAGGAGACCATGGATGGGAGAGGGAGAGAAAATAAATATAGTAACTGTCATTTAAGGAAAAAGCGCTAGGGAATCTAATGAGCTCAAAAACCAACAAGTCTCCTGGGCCTGATGGGTTACATCTTTTTTTTATTCACTTGTGGGACATGGGCTTTGCTGGTTGGCCAACATTTACTGTCTGTCTCCAGCTTCCTTTGAAATGAGTGGCTTGCTAGACCATTTCAGAGGACAGTTGAGAGTCAACCACATTGCTGTGGGCCCGGAGTCACATGTAGGCAGTTACCTTCCCTAAAGCATATTAGTGAACTAAATGGGTTTTCTGACAATTGACAATGGATTAATGGTCATCCAGATTATTATTGAATTCAAATCCCACCATCTGCCGTGGCAGGATTCAAACTCAGCCCCCTAGAACATTACTTGGGTCTCTGGATTAATAGTTTAGCAATAATACCACCAGGCGATTGCCTCCCCATCCTATGCCACTGGATACACCAGTAGAAATGCACTGGCCGCATGGTGGCTCAGTGGTTAGCACTGCTGCCTCACAGTGCCAGGGACCCGGGTTTGATTCCAGCCTCGGGCAGCTGTCTGTGTGGAGTTTGCACATTCTCCCCATGTCTGCGCGGGTTTCCTCCCACAGTCTAAAGATGTGCGGGCTAGGGTGGATTGGCCATGCTAAATTGCCTGTAGAGTTCAGGGCTGTATTGATTAGGTGGGTTATAGGAGGATGGGTCTGAGTGGGATGCTCTTAGGCTCAGTGTGGACTTGTTGGGCCGAAGGGCCTGTTTCCACACTGTAGGGATTCTATAATTCAAAAAAATCTTCCAACAATCCTCAGATTCCAGAGAATTGGAAACTTGCCAACGTAACCCATTTATTCAAAAGAGAGACAAACATCAGGTAACTATAGACCAAGTAACTAATTGGCTTAACATGTCACTGGGGTAAGGTTAGAGTCCATTATAAAGGATGTAGTGGCAGCAGTTCAGAAATACACGGTATGAATAAGCAGAGTAAGCATGGTTCCATGAAGGGGAAATCATGTTTGACAAATTTATTAGAATTCTTTGCAGAGGTCACCAGCAGGATAGATAAGGAAACCTGGTAAATGAAACATATTTGGATTCCCAAAACGTGTTCGATAAGGTACCACACATAAAGCTACCCAATAAGATAACATCCCATGTTGTTGGCGGTAACATATTCGCATGGATAGGGGATTGGCTAACTCAAAAATGTTGAGTTGGAATTAAAGGAGGCATTTTCAGGATAGCAGCCTATAACAAGGGATCAATGCAGGGGATCACACTTATTTACATTATGTCCATGACTTGGATGAGGAAAGTGAATCAGAGATAGTAGGAACTGCCGATGCTGGAATCTGAGATAACAAGGTATGGAGCTGGATGAACACAGCAGGCCAAGCAGCATCAGAGGAGCAGGAAAGCTGACGTTTCGGGTCTGGACGCTCCTTCAGAAATGGGGGAGGGGAAGGGGGCTCTGAAATAAATAGAGAGGGGGGGAGGCGATGATAGAAGGTGGATAGTGGAACAGATAGGTGGAGAGAAGACGGACAGGTCAAGGAGGCGGTACAAGTGAGTGTAGGTAGGGAGTTGGGATGGGGATTGGTCAGTGATGAGGGCGGGGCAAGTAGTTGGGAGGGAAGACGGACAGGTCAAGGAGGCGGGAATGAGGCTAGTAGAGGTGAGGTGAATGTAGGTAGGAAGTGGGGTGGGCATTGGTCAGTGAGGTGGGAGGAGTAGATACGTGGGAGAAAAGACAGACAGGTCAAGGAGGCAGGGATGAGAGGGGTGGTGGTCTTGAGATGAGGTCAGGGGTGGGGAGATTTTGAGGCTTGTAAAGTCCACATTGATACCATTGGGCTGCAGGGTCCCCAGGCAGAATATGAGGTGCTGCTCCTCCAGTTTCTGGGTGGCATCGTTGTGGCCCAGGATGGACATGTCATCCAAGGAGTGGGAGGGGGAGTTGAAGTGGTTCGCGACGGGGAAGTGTTGTCGTTTGTCACAAACCGAGCGTAGGTGCTCCACAAAGCAGTCTCTGAGCCTCTGCTTGGTCTCCCTGACGTATTGTTGTCAACTTTGCAAATGTCACAAAAATAGGTAAGAAGCAAATGGTGAGGATGACACACAGACTCTACAGAGGGACATAGACAGGTTCAGTGACTGGGGGAAAACTTGGCAGGTGAAATATATCTGGGAAAAAGTGCGGTTATGCATTTTGGCAGGAATAATAGAAGAGTTGAATAATATTTAAATGGTGAACGACTGCGGAAAGGGATTTGAGGGTCTGTTTAATGAATCACATGAAGGTACAAATAGGCAACTGTAAATATGCTTTAGTTAATATCCTACGTTAGAGCAAACCAATGGTATTTGTAAAACTGTACTTAACAGTTGCAAAAATGTTTTTTACAGGAACAGGAGGCTATTCAGCCTCTCTTGTTTGTTACACAGGAACAGCAGGAGGCCATTCATCCCCTCAAGCTGGTTCCCCCTGCTTAGCCTTCATATGCCTAACCTTTAATTCCCATGAAAAATCCTCTCACCGTCAGTTCTGAGGTATCCAATTGAGCCCTCAGCTTTGGCAGGTTTATCTTTGGGATGGAGGGGGTGCTTGTGTGGAGGAAGGATTCCAGCTTTCCACTCCCCTTTGTGTGACAAAGACTGTGCTGCATTTAGGGGGAACCTGGTGGAACACACTCTGGAGCACGTTATCAAGGGATCATGTCAATGGGTTGAGGAAGGTGCAAGGAAACTTGTGTGGAGCATGGAGCATTTGGGCCTAATGGCCTGATCCTGACATGTAGCACTCTCTAGTAAAGTCACCATAGTCCCAGACGGCCACTCTCTCGTTACAGAGAGATGACTGGTGGTGGTTTAACCTGAGGGTCACCACACCTCTGGAGAGGTTGAGAAGGAGAGCCCTTCATGGTAACCTCAGCTGGTGCAGGAACTGAACCCACACTGTTGGATCACTCTGCATGGCAAACCAGCCTTCCAGGCAACTGAGCTAACCATGACCCCACCCCACCTTGGGTTTAATGCAAAGGGACACTCACCCAATGCACAGGGCATGCCGATCATAGGACACTGTATGTCGGCGAGACCTAGCAACGAGGGCATAACCTAACCCCTGCACCCTTATTGGGGGTAGGAGGGTGGAGAATGGGCTAATTGCATCTAAACCTGAATGGGGGAGGGGGGACTGTACGAGCTGCGACTGTGTCCTGTGCTAACACACTGATGCCCTACAATGTTCTGATCTCTTGCAGCACTGATTCTGATGTTTTACGTAGTCTTTTACACTTTCCTAACTGGTCTCTTCAGCCTGACCATGTGGGTGATGCTCCAGACCGTTAATGAATACACACCAAAGTACCAAGATCGGATCACAAACCCAGGTAAGGCGTGTCTGTATGCGTGCGTGCGTTGATGCCATAGCCTCACCGAACATCCTCAGACAGCACCTTCCAAACCCACGATCATTTCCATCCAGAAGGACAAGGGCAGCAGACACATGGGAACACCACCCCCTGCACGCTCTCCTCTGAACCACTCATCATCCTGACTTGGGAATATATCACCTTCAGTGTCGTTGGGTCAAAATCCTGGAATTCCCTCCCTAAGGGTCTCCCTACAGCACGCGGACTGCAGCAGTTTAAGAAAACAGCTCACCACCGCCTTCTCAAGGGGCAACTAGGGGCAGGCAATAAATGATGCCCACATCCCACGAATGAATAAAGAAAAGAATAATGGCTCAAACATATTTCTGCCATTTTCAACAAGATTGGGAACACATGGAGGCAATTAGAACCTGCTTTGCCCTTGAATTAGATTCTGACAGCTCTGTGAATCCATTGAGTGTATCCCCCATTATCCCTTACCCATCATACAAGTGGAGTTTGTTCAGCAGGTAGAGGTTTGTTACATAATAGTAGCTTGTGACGTTAAGTCTGAGTTACGTGATTGGGATGGGACAGCATTCCAGATTCCACTCACCCCCATCGAAAGATCAGACTCAGATTTCCCCACCCATTCCTAAGCCCCGTCTCCCGCCGTTAGAGAAAACAGTATTGATCCTATTTTATGCCCTTCATGTCTGCCCCCAGATCGTTCTGGCCAATCCACGCTCTACCCTGCCACCCCCTCCTCCAAGGTTCGTGGGGAGTGGCGGGGGGTTCTCAGAACTGAACCTGTTACCCCAGCGACAGAGATCAAACAATTGTCATCTTCACTCCTTTGTATTCCGGCTCCATTCTGGGAAAGGCCAACATTCCATTAGTCCTTTTGATCACTGCCTCTACCTACCCATGAGGTTGGTATAAACGACCTGGACACTTACCACTTCCTTACAAGGTTGCTGATCGTCAGGGTCACAGGACATTGACACATTTAGTCCCTCAGACCTATTCTGACATTTGACTAGATCGTGGCTGACTTGTCTACCTCGAACTCAGTTTCCTGCATTATTCTCACGTTCCTTGATTATTTTTACAATCCAAACGACGGCCTCTTCTTCAATATTTAACAAAAGGTTCTGTCAATGAGGTGAGAGGAAGCTCGTTTGGAGTGTAAACGCAGGCCGGTACGGAGCAGTGGGGCTGATTGGCCTGTGTCCGTGTCTTATATTTCAAGGCTGACATAGAGAGGCTCTTGATCAGGAGGGGGGAATAGAGGGTTATAGGGAAAAGGGCTTGAAAGTGGACATGAGAAGTGTTGGGTCAGTTGTGATCTTACTGGGTCATGGGGTGGCACGGTGGCTCAGTGGTTAGCACTGCTGTCCCACAGCCCCAGGGACCTGCATTCAATTCCACCCTCAGGCGACTGTTTGTTTGGAGTTTACACATTCTCCCCATGTCTGCGTGGGTTTCCTCCGGGTGCTCCAGTTTCCTGCCACAGTCCAAAGATGTGCAGGTTAGGGTGGATCGGCCGTGCTAAATTGTCCCGCATTGTCCAGGGATGTGCGGGTTAGGGTGGATCGGCCGTGCTAAATTGTCCCGCATTGCCCAGGGATGTGTGGGTTAGGGTGGATTGGCCATGCTAAATTGTCCCGCATTGCCCAAGGGATGTGCGGGTTAGGGTGGATTGGCCGTGCTAAATTGTCCCGCAGTGCCCAGGGATGTGCGGGTTACGGTGGATTGGCCGTGTTAAATTGTCCCATAGTGCCCAGGGACATGCAGGTTAGGGTGGATTGGCCATGGGAAATTGCCCTGTAGCATCCAGGGATATGCAGGCTAGGTGGATTAGCCACAGGGAATGCAGGGTTACAGGGATAGGGAGGTGGGTCTGGATGGGATCTTCTTCAGAAGGTCAGTAGGGACTTGATGGGCTGAATGGCCTGCTTCTGCACTGTAGGGACTCTGATTCTAAATGATGGAGCAGGGTCCTGTTTCTTATGGTCACATTATGGTAAGAGATGTCCATCTGGAACAGTACTAGTTATGGGGTTGACAGTTTCTGGCAAGCGTATCACCAATGGGGTTTCCTCTCCTAGGTCTGATGATCCGCCCAAGGACAGACAGCCTACTTGTTACGTTCAACATAACACAGGAAAGCACATGGCAGGCACACGTCCAAGCCCTCAACGCGTACCTGGACTGTGAGTAGACCTTGTGGAGCAACCCTCACTGACTTTACCCCTCTTCACTCTCTGACCCTTTTCACTGCCAAGCCTATAGCAAAATCCTAGAACTGTTACAGCACAAGTGGAGGCCATTCGGCCCACACTTTCTGCCTTCAGTAGATTCATCATCAGCAATCCCCCTCTCTAATACGAGGCAAGCTTCTGACCCGACTGGAGAGAAAGGTGATGTGGACGGAAGGACTTTATTTTTCACTCGTGAGATGTGGTCAGCATTTATTGTCCATCCTTGGCTGCCCTTGAACTGGGCGGCTTGCTGCGAAATTTCTGAAGGCTGTTGAAAGCCAACCACATTGGCTGTGGGTCTGGAGTCACATGTAGGCCAGACCGGGTGAGGATGGCAGTTTCCTTCCCCAAAGGACATCAGTGAACCAGATGGGCTTTTCCTGACAATCATTAATGGTAGCCAGTAGATTTTGGATTCCAGATTTAAAAAAGAACTTCACCACCAACACCCGGGCAGGATTTGAACCTGGGGTCCCCAGAATATTAGCTGAGTTTCTGGACTAATAATCTAGTGATAATACCCATTACATTGTCTTAAAGATAAAGTCAGAGGGCACACGACATCAGGTTATAGTTCAACTGGTTTACTTGAAATCACAAGCTTCCATAGTGCTGCTCCTTCGTCAGGTCAGCCCCCACACAAGGAAGAGGATTTACCCCGAAGTATAGCTCAGCGCCCCCTTTAATAACCTTCTTACACAGCATTCCAACGTTTGGAAAGGGGTCGTATTCCAGCGGTCGGACATCTGATGGTGAACCTTTCTCTGCTCCTCCAGCCTATAATGACAGTGTCCAGGTTTCAAACAACGTCCAGTGCAAGCCAGGGACATACTACCTGCAAGAGGACAGCGGGGATGTTCGGAATACCCCAAAGCGGTCCTGCCAATTCAACCGGACCATGCTGGGCCAGTGCTCGGGGCTAGAGGACAAGACATATGGATACAGTGAAGGGAAACCCTGCATCCTCGTCAAGATGAACAAGGTGAGTTAGTGAGACGGTGGCTCAGTGGTTAGCACTGCTGCCTCACAGCGCCAGGGATTTGTGTTCGATTCCACCCAATGTGTGGAGTTTGCACGTTTTCCCTGTGTCTGCGTGGGTTCCCTCCAGGTGCTCCGGTTTCTTCCCACAGTCCAAAGATGTGCAGGTTAGGGTGGATTGGCTGTGTTAAATTGTCCAATAGTGTCCAGGGATGTGCAGGTTAGGGTGGATTGGCCATGCTAAATTGTCCCATAGTGCCCAGGGATGTGCAGGTTAAGGCATGGGATGGGCTAGGGTGGGGGTTGGGGTGCTTTTCGGAGGTCAATGTGGACTCAATGGGCCGAATGGCCTGCTTCCACACTGTAGGGATTCTCCGAGACTACTCCCACCAGCCTTGTGTGATGGAATTGAACCATCTATAGCACAGCAGGAAGCCAATCGATTAGTCTAGTCCATGTTGGCTCTCCGTGGAGCCATCCAGTCAATTTCTTACGCCCCCCTGCAACTTGATCCCATAGCCCCTTCCATTTTCCTTCAACACTAACACCCCATCCAATCCAATTTCCTATGGAGATCACTTTTCAACCATTCCCTCTGCCCCCGCCCCACCCCAGGTCATTACCACTCGCTATGTAAAGAAAATTTAATTTATTTATTTTCTTTATTCATTCATGGGATAAGGGCATCACTGGCCACACAGCATTTATTGCCCATCCCTAATTGCCCAGAGGGCAGTTGAGAGTCAACCATTGCTGTGGGTCTAGAATCACATGTCAGCCAGACCAGGTAAGGATGGCAGTTTCCTTCCCTAGAGGACATTAGTGTACCAGATGGGTTTTTCCGACAATCGACAATGGATTCACGGTCATCATTAGATCCTTAATTCCAGATATTTTTGTTGAATTCAAATTCCACCATCTACCATGGCAGGATTCGAAACTGGGTCCCTGGATTAACAGTCCAGCAATAATACCACTAGGCCATTGCCTCCCCATTGTCATGTGTACCAAGATACAGTGAAAAGTGTTGTTTTGCGTGCTAACCAGACAAACCATAGCTTACATAAGTACATCAGGGTAATAGAACAGAATGCAGAACGTACTGTTACAAACAAGGTACAGAGAAAGATCAACTCGAATATGGGAGGTCCATTCATAAGTCTGATAACAGCAGGGAAGAAGCTGTTCTTGAATCTGTTTTCAAACATGTTTTCAAACTCTTGTGGCTTCTGCCTGATGGAAGACGGTGGAAGAGATTATAACCGGGGTGGGAGGAGTCTTTGATTGTGTTGTCTGCCTTCCCAAAGCATAGACAGAGTCATAGAATCCCTAGTGTGGAAGCAGGCCAATCGGCCTATCAAATCCACACTGACAGAGCAACACCCTATCTATCCCTGTGACCCTGCATTTTCCATGGCTAGTCCACCCAGCCTGTACATGTTTGGACTATGGGAGGAACCCAGAGCACCCGACAGAAACCCGCACAGACACAGGGAGAACATGCAAACTCCATGTAGTCAGTTGCTTGAGGGTGGAATGAACCCAAGTCTTTGGCGTCGTGAGACAGCAGTGCTAGCCACTGTGCTGCCCAATGGAAGGAAGGCTGGTTTGCGTGATGGACTGGGCTCTATTTGCAACTCTCTATAATTTCTTGCTCATATAATAAAGAATACCCAGCTCATATAAAACCCCTCCACCACCACCACCATCACTCTTGTCCCAAAACCTTCAATCTGTCTCCCCTAAGTCTTGCAGGATCACTGAATGGGGACAGTTTTTCTTTCTTAATAATCATTGCCATTTTATACCTGTTCAGTCAAACCTCCTGTTCACCACCTTCACTCCAACGAGAACAACGCCGACTTTCTCCAACCTCACCTTGGAACTAAAATTCCCTCGAGCCAAGAACTGTTCGGGTGAATCCCACCTTGCAGCCCCAAAGTCCCTCCCAGGCAGAGATGAATGGAACTCGGCGCATTGCCCTAGATGGTGCCTAGACTGGACTTTACAAAGGTTCAGAATACCATGAGCTCAGTACCTCCTTGTGAAGCCAAGATGCTTTGCTAATCTTGACTCTCTCAATAAACTCTGTCACCTTCACACAAACATTCAGGTTCTTCTCCCCACTTGCCCCATAGGGGAGGCAACGGCCTAGTGGTATTATCGCTGGACTGTTAATCCAGAGACCCAGATAACATTCTGGGGACCTGGGTTTCAATCCCGCCACAGCAGATGGTGGAATTTGAATTCAATAAAATATCTGGAATTAACAATCTATCAATGACTGTGAATCCATTGTCAATTGTTAGGAAAAACCCATCTGGTTCACCAATGTCCTTTAGGGAAGGAAACTGCCATCCTCACCTGGTCTGGCCTACATGTGACTCCAGACCCACAGCAATGTGGTTGATTCTTAACTGCCCGCTGGGGAATTAGGAATGGGCAATAAATGCTGCCTGGCCAGGCATCCCATTAATGAATAAAGGAAAAAAAAACATTGCTCAGCAACTGTGCCATTAAGTAGCACATACCACTTAATTTAAAGCAAATCACATTACACACAGAATTTTCCATCACTTTATGTTTTGGCATAAAATACATCAGCATGACATTAGACCATTCAGCCCATTATACCTCTGTCTGCACTTTGAAATAGCAACCAATTAGTCCCACAGCCCTCGATCCACATGTTGGAGGGTCAGCACCAAGGGAGCGCCGCACTGTCGGAGGGCCAGCGCCGAGGGAGCACTGTGTTGTTTCGGTGCCTGGACTAAGATGTTTTATCCCTTTTGTCCTCACAAGCGATCCCATGACCACCACTCAAGAAAGGGCAAGATTGAGCTCTCCCTGCTGCCTTGGGTTCCAACATTTATTCCTCAACCATCGATAAAATGGAATATCTGTTGATGATCCCCGTGCACTTGCTGTCTGCAAATTGGCGCTGTGCTTCCCGCACTGCAACAATGGCCACACTTGCAAAAGTGCTCCCCCGACTGTGAACGTCCCGAGAAGGTCGCTATGGAAGTGCACAAGATTTCCCATGTTCTTTTATTGTTCTTTTCAGATTATCGGGTTCCTACCTGGCGAAGGGAAGACACCGTACGTGTCCTGTGAAGGAAAGGTCAGTGACTGGCTGGTAGAGTCCTGGGCACCTGACACATTGGCCGTTACTCCAGGCAGCAGCTTCTAAGCTGAACGGATCTTAACCATCTCTCTCTTTCATTTCATCCCCTCTGCCGTCCATTCTATTGGATCATCGTAGGCAAAAAATGAGAAAAACGAGTGGGTAAGGTGCCTGGACATTAGTGGAAGACACTAGCTCACAGAAAGCTGTCTTGCTACGATGATGAGTCACTGAATCCTCCCTCCCTGTGCAGTATATCCCTCCCTGAGCAGCTGACCCTTGACCTGCAGATCATTGGGGTCTGAGCATCTACCCTTTTGTTAAGTCTATGAACGAGGGGTGGGGAAGAGCTCGGTGTTGGCTTCTAGATTATTCCGTAGAGTCTAGCCAATTCCGCCAGTGCTGCCTGCTCTTCCAATGCTAACCTTCCTCGCTTTAACTCCCTAGGGTCTTGCTGTTGCTCCTGTAGCTGTCCCTGGTGTCAAAGAGGTACAGAGTTGGCCTAATCCACTGTTGCACCTTGGGGATAAAGAGCAGACCTTCATCCAAGGGGTAACATGGACCAGCCAGAGAGCCTCGGGTCTTTTCAGGGGTGCTTTGATGGTTCAGAACTTTCCAAAACAACAACTTGTATTTAGATAGAGCCCTAACTTTAGTAAGGCCTACCCAGGGCGCTTTGCAGAAACAAGAAAGTGGGGGTGGGGTGTTTGGCATATTAGGTGACCAAAATCTCAGTCAAAGAGGTCGATTGTAAGCAGTATCTCTGAACAGGGGAGGGGTGGGGGGGGGGGGGGGAGAGAGAGAGAGAGAGAGAGAGACGGATGGGTTTAGGGAGGGGAATTCTAGGTGAAGGCACGGCTGCCAACGATGGAGTGATGGGAAAGGGATAATGGCCAAGAGGCTGGAATCGGAGGAGCACCGAGATCTTGGATGGTGATGGGGATTGAAGAGGATTTGATATTATTTCTTGAACGTGAAAGTTGGTGGTGATTGGGTCAAATATAGTGCATCAAAACCACCAGCATTCCACAACTTGACTGAACTGCCGATGACAGTGGAGCAAGGTTCCAGGCAGGTGATAGAGAGGGTCCCTCAGTGTCAGCCGGATATTAAATATCCCACGGCCACTATTTCGGAGAAAAGCTGGGGAGTTCTCCCCACATCAATAATTCAATCCAAAAAATAAAATCAATAATTCATAATGCTCTCTCCCTTCATCTGCTCATTCACTCCTTGTCACCGTCTCTCTCTCTGTCCATCTCTCTTTTTCTGTCCCTTCGTCTTTCTCTCTCACTCACTTTCTCATTCACTCACTCCCTTTCACTTACTCTCACTGGTTTTTCACTTTCTTTCGCTCTCCTCCACACTCTTTCATTCTCTCTCTCACACTCACTTTCACTTTTTTTCTCTCTCACTTCTCTTCACACTCATACTCTCTCTTTCGTTCTCTTTCTCTCACTTCCTCTTACACTTACAGTCATTGAGATGTACAGCACGGAAACAGACCCTTCAGTCCAACTCATCCATGCCGACCAGATTCCTAAATTAATCTAGTCCCATTTGCCAGCATTTGGCCCATATCCCTCTAAACCCTTCCTATTCATAAACCCATCCAGATGCCTTTTAAATGTTGTAATTGTAACAACCTCCACCACTTCCTCTGGCAGCTCGTTCCCTACAAGCACTATCCTCTATGTGAAAAAGTTGCCCCTTTAAGTCCCTTTTAAATCTTTCCTCTCTCACCTTAAACCTATGCCCCTCTAGTTTTGGACTTCCCCTACCATGGGGATAAGACCTTGGCTATTCACCTTATCCATGCCCCTCATGATTTTATAAACCTCCATAAGGTCACTCCCCAGCCTCCGACACTCCAGGGAAAATAGCCCCAGCCTATTCAGCCTCTCCCTGTAGCTTAAACCCTCCAACCCTAGCAACATCCTTGTAAATCTTTTCTGAACCCTTTCAAGTTTCACAACATCCTTCCTATAGCAGGGAGACCAGAATTGAACGCAATATTCCAAAAGTGTCCCATCCAATGTCCTGTACAGCCGCAACATGACCCTCCCAACTCCTACACTCAATGCACTGACCAATAAAGGCAAGCATACCAAATTTTCTCACTCCTTTTCACTCTTTCTCTCTCTCACACTTCCTTTCAATCGCTCTCTCTCCGCCACAAATTTATGAACCCTGTTTGATGAGCTCTTGCAACCCAACTATGTGTGAATTCTGAATTGGATTCGGCCAGTGGAAACGAGTTATTGAAATGCCTTTTCCTTGTTTAGACCAAAGACAACAACAAAGTTCACGAACTCCAGTATTTCCCTTCCAATGGGACCTTGGACCTAATGTACTTCCCGTATTATGGAAAAAAGGCACATGTGAGTAAACTGGCTTGTAACTCAGGAACAAAATCAAAGTTGCTGGAAAAGCTCAGCAGGTCTGGCAGCATCTGTGAAGGAGAAAACAAGAGTTAACGTTTCGGGTCCGGTGACCCTTCCTCAGAACACTTGTAACTCCCCTGAGTCAGCACGCGCAGGGACTTCATGGTGACAATGGAGGTGGCTGGGGTGTTGGTAAAATGTGTGGCTGGTTACCTTGCCCCAATGGACACCACATCAAGTGCTCCCTCAACTTGTCCCAATATAGGGATGGCATTTAGCGCAAGAACCAATGGGTGTGCCTAACAGCATTGCAATGATGCACAAAGCCCCTAGCCTCCCTTTGCCCATTTCCCCTTAAATACATACAGGAGAACCATGGAAACGACTTAGTGCCAAAATCCTTCGCAGGACTATCAGACAGAATCTAACTCTGAGTTAGATCGGAGGCTCGGTCAAAGAGGTCAGATCTTAAGGAGACTCTTAAAGGACAGAGAGGGAGAGAGAGAGATGGGGTGGGATGTGGAGAGGTTTAGTGAAGGGGAAATTGAGAGAGAGAGGGAGAGAGAGAGAGAGAGACAGAGGTGGATGTGGAGAGGTTTAGTGAAGGGGAGATTGAGAGAGAGACAGAGGGGGATGTGGAGAGGGTTAGGTGAAGGGGGGATTGAGAGAGAGACAGAGGGGGATGTATGGAGAGGGTTAGGTGAAGGAGGGATTGAGAGAGAGAGAGAGGGGGTGATGTGGAGAGGTTTAGTGAAGGGGGGATTTTGAGAGCTCAGGGCCCAGGCAGCTGGTGACACAGCCGGCAACAGTGGAGCGATGGGACATGGATGATGACTGGAATCGGAGGGACACAGAAAATCTGATGGACACATCTGATGAGCAGAAGTAGGCTACTCAGCCTGTCTAGTCTGCTCCACATTTCAGTGGTTGATCTGAGAATCCTCAACTCCCACTTCTTCCCCAGAACCCTCAATTACCTCACTGATTAGAAGTCTGTCTATCTCGGTCTTTAATATAATTAACGATCCAGCCTCAAAAGCCCTCTGCGGTAAAGAATTTTGGGGAGATGGACCCCCATCTACAGGAATGCTGATTTAGTGCTATTGCGTTTTTCTGACCCTTAAGAGCGCTGGCCCCTCTTGCTCCCTAATCCAGAAGCTTGCTTTTGTCATGTTAAAAAAAATGTGCAAAGTCTCACATCCTTCATGCCTCCCCAGCCTTGCCAGGGTGCCCCAGTCTTTGTAAATTGGCCTAGTAGTACTATTGCTGGACTGTTAATCTAGAGATCCAGGTAATGTTCTGGGGACCCAGGTTCGAATCCCAGCAGGGCAAGTGGTGGAATTTGAATTCAATTAAAATCTGAGATTAGGAGTCTAACGATGACCATGAATCCATTGTTGATTGTTGGGGGAGAAACCACCTGGTTCACTAATGTCCTTTAGGGAAGGAAGCATGCCATCCTGACCTGGTCTGGCCTACATGTGACTCCAAACCCACAGCAATGTGGTTGCCTCTTAACTGCCCTCTGGGCAATTAGGGATGCGCAAT